CCCAGGGGAGGCTGGTTTGCAGGGAGCCTTTCTAAGCCTGGACTTTGTTCTAAGCATGGTGGGAAGCCACGGGGAGCGTTCGTGGTGGGAAGTGATAGAATTTGATTTGCATATTTCCAAGTTCATGCTTCATGAAGACAGGATTATAGGGATCAGAGTGGAGGCAGAGACCTGGGGGCTTGCTGCGGTTGACTAAGCTCAGGACGATGAGGGGCTTGGGATGGACCAATGGCAGTGGATGGAGGGCAGACATTTGGAGGAGAACCGACATGAGGTTGGGGGAAATGAGAGACAGAGACCAATCAAGCTCCAAATCTTTGACTTGACCCACTGCGGGGATACTAGCTCCATTTCCTTACCAAAGCTGGGAAGACTGGGGAGGAACCACACCACCTCAGGGCCCCAGGTGGGCTGAGTGAGATCAGGAGGAGAAGCAGCATTCCCAGCCTGCATCCTCCTCACCTGTGTGGCCCTTGTTAGGTCTGCGCCCCTCCCCTGTGAGCTCGGTGCTCCTGGGCCATCGCTTGCCAGCTTCCTGCAACATCCTTCCTTTTCATTTCTGAGACTGCAGTCACACTCTGAAACCCAGTTAGGTGACACCTCCATCCACACAGCCTGCCCTGGTCATGCCTCCATCCTCTAGGCCCACAGAAAGTCACCCCTCCCCCTCCAAGATGCTTCTAGAGTCCAGAGTAGCTGGTGAGTCAGCCCACCTGGGCCGGCCGTGCTTACCTGTAGAAGGCCAGCTGGAGGGCCACCTGAATAAAGGCATCGGGGCTGCATTTCTGCTTCTTAATGAATGTTTTGCCATAGTCATCAAACTTATAAACAGTGAAGTCGAGATTCTTGACGATTCTGTGGAAGGAATAGAAAAGGTGCTTTCATTGCATGCAAAACAGAACACGCCCACCACACAGTCTAACGGAGTTTCTGGAGCTTGGTCTCTGTCCTAGTGCTGCAGGTGTCCAGGACGCCGTCCCTGCCCTCCAGGAGCATGTCAGAGACAGGCCTTGATGTATGGAAGTGGCAGAGGGCATGCCCACCAGGGAGGCCCTGAGCTGAAGGTGAGGCTTGGCCAGGTAGGGCAGTGGCCCTGCTCTGGAGGCGGGGGGGGGTGGGTCTGATTGCAGGGAGGGACATGGGGACACGAGGGACATTTGCATGGGCGGGCAGAACACTGCCCACAAACAAAGTCCTAAATGCCCACAGAAGTAGGCCTGAAAGAGATCATTCATTTGACCTGTTTGGGAAGATGTGTCTGGCATCCTGGCCATCTGGGCAGACCCGCAAAGCCCCCTATGTCCAGCAGAAAGCCCGTTTCTCTGACGGCTGAAAGCAGCATCTCCTCACTGAGGCTCCTTCCTGCTGTGCTATAGGAGGAAGGGCCTGGGGCCTGGCCCCTGGTCACGGTCACCACAGCAAGAGCTGCTTGTGCGGGCGGGTATAGCTCAGCATGCATGAGGTCCTGAGTTCAGTCCCCAGTCCCTCCATTAAAAATAAATAAATAAACCTAATTACCTCCCTCCCAAAAATGTTTTTTTTTTAAACCAGAAGTTTAAAAAAAGAAGAAAAAGCTGCTCATCTAGACTTTGGTGGTGACTGAAAACCCATTTTATCCCCAAATGGCTACTGAGCCTCTCGTGATGTGCCAGGTCTTTGCTGCCCTCAAACCACTGTCAGAGACACAGGAAGATTCCCTGAGTCTATACTGAGACCTTCAGCCCTGGTTTTCCCCCAACTCCCCGTACTGACAAGTCTCCTCCTTCATAATGAGTCTGGGGTCTGGGCTGACTGCCTGCTGGAGCAAATCCAGCAAAGTCCGCACCAGTCGCCCACCAACCGTGTGTGTGTGTGTGTGTGTGCGCACACGCGCGTGCACAGAGCCCTGGGTGGGCAACCCTGACCCCCACTCCTCCACCCCCAGGACTTGATGTTCCCTGCCTGCCCCTCCTGGAATTATTCCCCCCACATCAAGTGAGCTCAGCTCTGGGTGAGGCCATGCCAGGTTCTGGGGACCCATCAGGACTCAGAGGGGTCCCAGTTCTCATGGGAACTCACCCCTCAGTCTGACCTGTTGATGTACTGTCCCCCGACAGGCTGAGCTCACGGCCACCACCGCCACCTGGAAACACTCAGACCCCACCCACCTTCCATGGGCAGCTCAGGAGCCCGGGCTCCTCCTTCTCCCCCACCTACAGGCCTCTCTTGGCTCTTCGGGTCCTCGGGAAAGGGGAGCTGGGGCCTTGGGAATCATGTGATGCCTGCTCGAATCCCTGAGAGTAAGCGGATTCCTTCCTCCACCCAGGGCTCACCAGCCCAGCAACTCACTCTCCCAGCGGTCTGCTTGTTCCAAGGACAGCCCCGAGGGTTGAGATCCAAGCACCATTTTACAAACACACACCTGAGGCCTCTCTCACTTCCCCTGAGAAGCCAGTCAAGCACAGCAGATCACAGTAGACTAGTCCTCCCCACCCCTCGGACTCCGAGCCTGGCCACGCCTTGTCCTGTTCCCTTGTGCTATTCCCACAGTCTCCTCACTGTCTCCCTTAAACCCCCTGTACAAAATCCTCCAGGGGTTTCTCCCTTTCCCCACCTTCCCTTTGGTGCCCCAACTCTGGCCATTCTCTCACAAGTTGGCCTCCAAACCAGTCTGATCTCTTATGAACCTGTTCCCCAGCTACCAGCACTACGAACTCCTAGCCATCCTTCAAGGCCCATCTTTGCAAAACCCTCCCTCATCTTTCTGACAGAATCTGGCTCCCGGGTCCTCTTTGGGTTGAGGTCTGAATGCCTCTCTGGTTTTGGCACTTTTTACACCTGACATTTTTGCTTTGTGTGTGTGTTTACTGGGGGGGGGTCCATTTCCTCTGCTAAAGTATGGAGCTCAGGCCCTGTGGCACCTTCATTTCTGTGTCCCCAGAGCCCTACCACAGGCCTGACACACACCCGAGCTCTGCACATACTTGATGAATGAATGAATGAAAGAATGGATGAATGAATGAATGTCCCCATGCTCACTTACTGAATGAGGGCACAAACAACCAAGGTCCAGATCTACTTGCCAGCCCCTGGCTCCCACCACACCTCGCCACTGCCAGCGCTGGCCCACCCGAGGGGCCCATCCCTCGTGCCTGGCCCTCTTGTCTGGGTCCCGTTAGGGCCAGCACTGTCCTTGGGAAAAAAGGCCCCCTTGTCAAGTTGCAGTGGAAATTCAAGCAAATTGAAATAGCTTCGATTCAAATAACCTATTCAAACCAGTTGTTTATGACACCCCCAAAAACAAGGGATGACTTCCCCACCTTCACTCTGCTCAGTCAGGTGGAACCTGTGGGAAAAAAAATAGCTCCACGTTTGCATTTTATGGAAATGATGGACACTTTAGCAAGGTTATTTCCCTGAAAGTTATAACTCCCCTCTACTTTGGCTACAACATTTCCATGAGGAGGTGGGCGGAGGCGGGTGGGAGGGGTGGAGGAGCTGGGGTCTTTGGAAGCTTCAAGGGTGCCTTGGCAGCTGGAGAGTAGGGGGATTTGGAGGGTGACCCCTGGAGCATCACCCCAAAGACCCAGGATTCCCCTTACTGTTGAAGTTTTTCTGCCGAGGAGGCTAAGAGGCCTTGAATTTCCGGGGAGCATTTCCACCTCAGCCTCCGGGGCGCTGGGAGCTCACTGACGGAGTCAGCTCGGACCATCTTCTTGCTGCTTTTCACCCTGCGGGACAAAGAGGGGACCTCCTGTGGCCCTGCAAGCTGCAGGCTGCAGGCAGCTTGTTTCTTTGCTCTGCAGTCAACCTTGCTGAAGGAGTTTCAGTGGGTATGAGCTGCACCCCCCAAACCAGGACACAGATGAACAGGTGCGAGTTCAGGGAGGCCCCTCAAATTAGTGAGTAGCAGAGCCAGAAGTCCACCCAGTTCCACCTGAACCGAAAGCCTAATTGTTCTTTTCCTGTTTTGCCATTGGACCACGCTACACCACTAACTATTAAAAAAGAAACGCACAAAGAAATTAAACAAGCAAATTGTGACGTTCTGCCTCTGAGGGCTGGTTTGGGTTTTTTTTTTTTTTCAGTGATCCTAAAGAATTCCTAAATCATGGATTTAGATTTAGAACTTAGATTCAGGAAGAAGATTTGAGGAGCGAATGAGCACAATTGGGACTGGAGGAAGGAACCAGGTGTGTTTAAGGGACAGAGAAATACTCAGCCTGGCCAGCCTGGAAGCTAGAGAGAGAGATCCAGGCCAAGGGAGGAAAGAGGTGTGTCTCAGAGACCTCCCCTCTGTGCTGGGTCAACAGTGGTCCAGCCCTGACTCCGGACAAGCAATCGATACTGACCTGGGCTTCCCTGGACCAAAGCAGACGTTCCTTTTAAGCTGAGACTTCTTGGCCAAGCCTCTTCCTAATTGCCTTAAGCCTGTTACCCAGTCTGCCCCTTCTGTCCATGACCCATAAAGCGTATAATGTCTCATTCAAGCTGGCTTTCATGTTCATCTTTTGCAAAGATACTTTCCAGACTAACGCGGCCCCCCGGTGGCCACCCATATTTTTCTTGGCCCAGCTTGGCAGCAGCTCTGCAGTCTGGCTCTGCCTCACGTGGCTGCTGGGGCTGGACCCTGCCCCTGGCCAGACTCACATGTGTTTGAGCAGATGCTCCGTGCACTGCACCAGGACGATGCCGTCAAAAGGGGAGTGTTCACACACCACGCCGCAGGTGCCGTCTCGGCCCACCACAAACTGCAGTAGGAGGAGAGAGGTGAGCGGACCTCTGGGACAGTCAGCATTTCAAACCAGCCCCTGGACTCCCGCAGCATCTCAGTGGGACCTCTTCCCCAGGGACACCAAAGCACATCATCTCCTGAGAAGAACGCTGCACACAGTTGTCCCAGCCTGAGAATACAGGGGCCTCAAGACAGCTCTAAACTGTGCAAACTCCGTCCCACAAATGCTCCCGGCAGTGAAGGTGGAGCCCAGAATTCCTGGCTCAGGCAGTCCAGTGATCCCTAAGAGTTCACCCCGAGGCTGTGTAACTCTCCCCAGGTTGTGGGCCAGCTCCTTCAGCTCCTGTAAGCCTTGTTTCCCCTCAACAGTGCACACCAGGGCCACCACCCTGGTCTGCCTTGTGTGCTTATGTGTCTGATGGTCCCCGTGCTCAATAATTAGGTTCAACAAGTGATGAAAGATAATGATCCAATCTGGCTGATGTGCAGACTCCTAGGGAGAAATAAAGTATTCCTTGGTGGGAGTGAAGGAAAGGCGTACAGAGGAGGCCCCATGATCTGCTGCCTGGGCTTCGAGTCAGGGACCATGCTTGCAATTCTGCAGTTGCCACCTGCCAGTGAGGCGAGTTTTGACGAGACCCTTCAAGTCTCTGGCTTCAGTTTGCTCTTGTTTAAAATGGATCTGGGGGGAGGGTATAGCTCAAACGGTAGAGCACATGCCTAGCATGCATGAGGTCCTGGGTTCAACCCCCAGTACCTCCTCTAAAAATAAGTTAATACATAGACCTAATGAAATGGATCCAATCAGGCCCAGGTCACAAGATCAACAGGAGGATGGGGTGGGGGGAAAGGTCTAGGAAAGGGCAACAGGGACTGTCAGGACAACTTCTGAATTTTTCTCTGACCGTACAAAGGCTGTATTTAGCTGACTGACCCAGAAAAGGGGCAAGCACAGTATACACCAAAGGACTGGGAGAAAATAATGTTGAGATAAGATTTGTTTCTTAAAGCTTGACCCCAATAAAGTGGGGCTGCCTTGAAGCTCGTCTCAGCACAGCATCACACTGAAGAGATCATCCATAAACACGCCAACAAGCTACTGACATCTTTCCTGAGACCTCTTCCAGGGAACTGTACCACAGCACCCCTCTGAGTGGACTCGCTGTCTTCCGCAGTCTCTCACACAGTGTGCCCGTTATCTGAAAATTTACCCATCCCCTTCTTCAAACAAATACATTTCCCATGTAGTTTTTCCCAAGATCCATCCCTTGCAGGCTCTTTTCTCTCTTCCCCAGTGGCCCCTGCTCTTCTGTCCTGAGACTTGCTCTCGGTCCTTCCAGTTCAGGTCTGCAGAGCCTCTCTGGCTTCTCCAGCTCACCTGATAACCTGTCCTGCCTGCGAAAAAGAGCCCAGAGGTGGGCACGGTCGTCCACATGAGGCAAGAGGGGAGGGCTGTGCCCACTCACCCATTAGGGCTTTTCTGTCCCTGTTGCTAAAAGAAAGGGAGGGAAATGATGCTTTTTAAAAACCACGACCAAGGCTTGCTATGTTTCAGGTCCTGTGTTTCCATTATATCATTTCATTCCCACAGCGGCTCCATGAAAGATTACAAGCCATTAGCACCACTGGTGGAGGCTAAAACAGCCAGCGCAGCAGCGAGAGAACTCATCAGAAAGAGCAGAATCAATATGCAAGCCAATAAAAAGGATAACCCACAGAACCTAGGGGACAGAGAGGGAGAAAAACCGGAGGTGGCCTATAAATGCTCATCAGTGTGAACGATGCTAACTCAAAGCACAGAGATTGTTGGCTGCTATTTAATACGATCATTGTGAAAGCGTGGTGGCTTCAAAAATAAATAAGATTAGATTCAGGATCAATGTGCTGGGGGAAAAGGATGGGAAACAGGAATGAAAGGCCCAACCTTCATCCTGTTGCAGGAGTATTTCTCTCCGGGCCAAAGTGAATGTCTTGCCTTTGGGCTGATGTCGTGTGAATGAAAAACATATGAATTGCCTTATTTCATTTTATGACTTTTCTTCTGTGGAGATGCTACGCTGCCCTGCTCCTCAGGGATGGAGGGATGGAGGGAGGTGTGTCAAAATGGCCAGGCCAGGGTGATGGAAATGCAGAAAAGCTGACATCTCTGGCATCCGACAGGATTCCTGTTGCATGTGTTGAAGACTTGTTTGATGGGAGTCCGTGGCATGCCCTCATCTTATTGTGTGTGATGGGGGATGGCGAAGGAGCCTCAGGTCTGACCCAGAGACCCCATAGGAAGGTTAGGGAGCTTGAGTTGGGTTTGGCCACTCACTCCTGGGGAGTTCTGGCCAGTCCAGAGGCTGACAGCTGTGGTATGTCGCCAGCCCCTTCAGCTCCCTTGGCCCCTAATGGAGCATCCTGGGCGGCAGAAGCCGGCAAGTGAGCCTGCTGGACGTGAGCACATGCTGGCTCCGGCCACTGGCCATGTCATGAGGAGGCTCACCTGCAGGGACTTGTCATACCAGCGGTTGGCCCCATTCTTGCTGCAGCCTCCGCCATGGAGGAGCTGGAGCGCCCTGTTGGCGTCGCTGGGCTCCAAGCCTCCCGGGGCGTCCAGGCACACCAGACAGATGCAGCGCTCGATCATATCCAGAGAGTCCCGGTTGGTGGAGTCTGCAGGGCGGGCAAGCATGACCTCACTTAGCACCCGCCCTGCCCCAGGTCTGGGGTCCCTGCCGCGGAGGCCCCCCACACCACAGGCTGACACACATACGGACTCCCAGATCTTGAGCCAGTCCTGACCCTTCCCACTCTCCCAGGGGGTTGAGCCGTGAAGTCAGTCTCACTGTCCTGAGCTTCTGTGCTAACCCCAGGGGCCAGCTCACACTCAGGATCCTTGCAAAAGTCCCATCTTCCAGCTGTGGCCATTTCTGCCCCCTAATGAGTAGTCGTTGGTCCTGCCTGCCCGCTTGAAGCAGGGGGTCATATGGGGCCTTCCCCATGGACCCTCAGGCCAGCTGTGCCGGAGGAGAACCTCCAAGGCCCCCATCCAACGGCACCCCCACATTGCATCTGCAGACCACATCTGTCCCATAGGCAAGTTTATTTGTCCTGAACTATGCTTTGCAAACACTTGTTGCCCAAAAGTTTTAGTCAATTTCACATGAGTGTTGGAAACAAGAGAGTGAGGGTGTTGCTCTCCCAGGCCCCCACCATCACCCCAGCTGTTGTTTCTATGCAGAGGGCAGGTGGAAGGGCAAGGCTGCCCCTGAACCTGTATCCAGATGAGGCCATGGGGACCACTTCAGGCACATATAACTCACCAGGACAAATAGACTAAAAGCTGTGAGTTGTTGCAGGAGACATGTCACCAAGCGAGCTTGACTTCTTCCCCAGGGGGGACAGTGGGCATGGGGTTCCTCCCGGAATGGAGCTGAGCCAGCCAGATGGGTGCCCCAGGCAGCTTCCTCCACTGAGCACACGAAGACTCACAAAGCCCACCCAGTGGGACTTAACTGTGGCCACAGCTGGTGCTGCTGGTACCTCTTCTCCCCACCAGGGGTCTGTGTGGTGACCGCGTCCTGTCTCCACCGTCCTGTACAGGATGTGATCAGGTCCATCACCGGGACCTGATGGTGAGGGCTGTACATCGCCCAGATATCCTGAGCTCTGGGCTGGATGCAGTGCAGGGCTACACGCCTCCTCCATCCCCAGAAGGTTTGGTGCATGTTATTTGGAGGTAAAGGGGCATTACCTGGCATTTTCCAATACCCACACCCCCATTTATTCATAGAACACCTGGTTTCTAGCTGGGCACATGGACAAGCAGACCTAAAGCTACATCTCCCAGCCTCTTACAGCTTGGGGAAACCATGTCTCAATTCTGCCAACAAGATCTAGAAACACTATATGACAGCTTCCAGGAAACCTCCTTAAATCCAACTAGCATGTGCTCTTTGCTCTTCTCCCACCTTTCCTCCGGCCTGTTGCCTGGAACACAGGTGTGATGGCCAGAGCTCTAGCCTCCATTTTGGACCAGGAGGATGCAGGCCACATCCTCACAGCAAGAGGGAAGAGCCCTAGCCACCTATCAGCTCTGGAGGGCTCAGATCCGGTATACGTGAGAAAGAAACCTCTATTTTCTTTTAGTCACTATTATTTTGAATTATCTATCACATGTGGCCATATTAATCCTAACTTATGCCAGAAGCATTCTGGGGGCTGAAGATCCCTCCAAGAAGGCAGTGGACCCTCTTCTTGTTCCCTCCTGTCCCAGGATCAAAGAAGGTCCTGGGGTGGCCCTGGTTCTAGCCCCCCTATTTCCTGTAGTCAGTTTTGTGCCCTTTGCTTACACAGCCACACTCTCCTCTCAGCTCCTGCCTCTCCTCCTGGACCTCCAGGGGCTAATGTGTCAGAACTCCTCTTTCCAGAGTCTGCCCCCCTGCTTCCCTGTCCCCCGAACCCTACCTCCAGTCTGGAGCCTTCTTTCCTTCCAGAGCTGTAAGCCAAGAAATACACCCATCATGTCTCACAGACATCTGGAATCTGCCTTCCTGAAGTCCAGGGAATGTGTGGGAGCAGGTATGGCTCCCACACCCTGAGGCTCAGGGTCTCCCCACAGCCTCTGTTCACCAACCAGTTCCTGCCTGTTGGGCAGAGCCAGGCGCAGCAGCACCTTCCTCAGTCGGTGGGCAGCTGAGTGAATACATAGCTGATACTGCCAGCGCGGGACCACCTCCGGAATATGCCTGTCCCTTCCCCAGACCATCGAGGGGCCTGGGGTGGTCCTTGAAGTCATGTCTGCTCCTCCCAGCTCTTGGCCTCACCCTGGCCTCTCTGGGCTGTCCTCCGCTCTCGGCATAGTCAGCCTCGAGTGAGGCAATCCCTAAGACCCTCCCTTCAGTTTTCTCAATGCCTACTGGGCACTCAGATGTTAAGGCCACCTGTGCTGTTCTCTGCTCTGCCCAGGTGATTTCTCCAGGTCCATGAGAGGTGTCCACAGATGTCCTCGAGTGAAAGGAACCTACAGTCCCCACCCTCCCCTTCCCCCTTCCTCTTGCAAATCCTGGGGAAGGGAAAGGTCTTTCACAGCAGACCTTCTGCTCTGAGAAGGAGGTTGACCAGCAAGCCAGCCCACCCCTGGGTTATCTGTTCCCTGTATCTTGTCTGGAATATGGGCTTGGGGAGCACTGTGTGTTCAAGACCCCTTTTGATCCCTATGGGACCAGGATGACGCATCACCTTCTGCATGGTCTCTTGGGCTTTCCTGCCTCAGTCTGATCAACTTCAAGGCATTGAGCAATGCCCTGAGGGTCTACTGGGAAATGAGACCCCATCTTGGCCTGGGGGAAGCTCCCCTCCCCTCTGTTCCTTAAGTGTTATGCAGTCACCATGTCACCCTCTTCGACCTGAAACAGCTCCTACTGCCCATGAGGTAGAATCCAAACTTCTCAGCACAACCCCCTGGGCTCCGTGGTTTGCCTCTGCTGCCCCTCTGGGTCACTGCCCCTGAATGCCTGCATGGATCTCATGGGAGCCTCCCTGGACACCTGTGCGCATTTGTCCCCTCACCTCTGTGCAGGCTCACTCTGGATGGGGGCCCTTCTCCCTCTTTGCCTATCAAAGTCCTACAGGTCAAACCCTCCCGACTTCCTTAATCCTCTAACAGTGCCGGCCCTGTGCCCGGCGTGGGAGGGAGCAGCCCAGATAGCTCCTGCCCTCTGGGAGCCTCACACTGGGAGCACGCCAGCTTGGCCATCTGCTCAGGGTGACGAGGACCCTCTGCTCTGTCCATCAGGCTGGCCTCACATAGTACTGGAGCCCAGTGCTGGACTGGCCACCTCTACATACACCGCCTCCTACAGCACAGTGCCTGACCCTATAGTGTGTCACCCTGCCGCTGCCCCAGACCCCAGACGCTGACAGTCCAGACCCAGGAGCCCCAGTCTGGTCCCCTCCTTCCACATCTTTGAGCTCACAAAGAGCAGGCCCTGGTCCCCAGCCCAGGTGGCCACAGGAAAGTGTCCATGGCTGGCAATGGACTTGAGTGTGCCTGGACAGGTGAGGCTGAGAGCTGTGTACACAGCTTAGAGAAGGAGCCCAAAGGTGCCCAGCCAGCCCCTTGAAAGTCAGGAAGCTACTACCTTTGAGACACGGAGCTTCATGAGATGGGGTAAGGTGGGGAGGGCAGGGGAGAGATGGAGACAGGGAATGGATTCCTTACCTCTACGAGGCTCCCCACTCTGCCCCTCTCAGCTCCTGTAGAGTCCCTGCCCATGGCCACAGGGCCCGACCCTGCACTGAATGCTATTCTGGGGGTCCTCTGGGCTCGGTCTGGCTCATGAATTCAGAGCCTGGGGAGGCCTTGGCCAGGCCTGGGTCAGATTAAGACAGGCAGAGAGGAAGGGAGAAGTGCATCAGGAGGGAGGTAACAGAGCTGGAAAAGGCTTTGAGGGCTGACCAGTAGACACCCAGACTTGTGGGCGGAGCTTATGAGTGATGCCCAGCCTCCAGGGGAAGGCGTGGGCCTGGAGGCCAGCCGAGGGGCTATGGGCAGCCCCGGTGCCACACACTTCAGTCCTGCTGGCCATGTCTCAGCGAACTCTGAGAGCCCAGGCCTGGTATCTGCCTACGAAACAACCCTAAGGCTGGTGTGGAGTGGGCAGGCTGCAGACCCCCAAGAAACCCACAGCAGGCCTGTCCAGCACAGAGGCTGGGGGAGCCGAGGCTTGGCACACTCCTTCCCAGCTGGGTAACTCGAAGCTGGCAGCAAAAATGGACAGCTTCCTGAGCATCAGTGCCCCAGCCGCCTCCAAGCAGGGGAGAGAGACCCCCGAGAGGCGGCTGAGCCATCACCACTGCGGGCAGGTCGGGCAGGGCCCCGGAGCTCAGTGACGACCAGCAGGAACTGGGTCCTGGCTCATTAGACAGAGTGGAATGGGAGCAGGGCAGCAGAGCTAGGATGCCAGGTGGCCTTGCAAATGAACTCCCTGCATACAAATCGCTGATCGGTCAAATGCTGACAAGTTTATCATGTAAGGCAGAAAATGAACTACACCTAAACTCATCCACCATGACTCTGGTCCAAATGTAATGGAAACACGGGATAGTGGGCTGGAGGCACACAGCAGGAGCCGTTTGTCTTGTGACACCCTCATCGAGCACATGGAGGCTCGTTTAATGTGGTAAATCAATCTTCCTCAAGGAGCCCCTGCTTAATAGGTACAAGTCGGAGTTGAGTAATAGGAGGAGCTTGCTCTGCCACCCACGCCTGGGGGGTTGACAGCTTCGGCGATGCAGACATTCCAGAGGCCATGAGGCCTTGGAGGACCCTGGAACTTCTGTTAGAGGTTGAAAGCGTACAAAGTGTGACTAAGGTGAGCAAAGATGAAATGAACACAGCACCTCTGCCTATGGAGGGCTGCAGAACCCAGCACACCCACCTGGGCAGGCATACACATACAGACACACACAGCCCTCTCTGGGACACTTGTCTTCTCTGGTCTATTCCCTGAGAAGTTGACCTGTGTCAGACTTCTACTGTCCTGCCTCACATGGTCCAGGGAGATGCAGGCACTGGGCCCCTTCTCAGACGCTTAGAGCTTCTAAACATTCGGCACTCTCATCTGAGCATCTTTCTTCCCCGGATAAAGGAACTGTATCTCCTTTTGGGA